TATATATATATATATATATATATATATATATATATATAAAGAGAGAAGGAGAGTTGAGTTCACGTGAGATCAAGAGTTTTTCGTGAGACCAATTCTAGGTTCACGGGAAAACATTAAATAAATGAAAGGATCAGAAAATTATGAAAAACAGATTAATAATCATATCAATATGGATGTCAATTTAACGAGAATTTTTTAATGTTTTGTTGGTGTAGTTTACTTCGCTCGAATTTTGTTTATTGTTGGTCGATTGTTGTACCACTCATTTAGTCACATCCATTAAATCAATTAATAAGCATATCAACTAGCTTTCTGATTACTTTATGGGCTTATTAGTTAACGCTTTGCTTATCAAACAACAACCACTCCAAAATGTTGGACTTTTTCGTTGAAACTTTTTTAATAAAATGGGATCACAAGAAAAAAAGAAATACATGTTTTATAATTGTAAAAGTAAAAAAAAATTGATATATTGTCAAGAACTTTTTCATATTCTAATGTAGGGTTGTAAACGAACCGAACGTTCAGCGAACCGTTTGGCAGAAAGTTCGTTTATTTAATAAATGAACGAACATGAACAATTTTTTTTGTTCAACAAGAGTCTCGTTCGTTCATTTGTGTTCGTGAACGTTCGTTCATTTACCGTTCGTTTATGTTTCGTTTATATGTTAAATTTAATATATAATCTTTTATTTATTTACTTTGAATTCAAATAATATTTATTTATGTTCGTTTATCCCGTTCGTTTATGTTCGTTTGTTTACGTTTATTTAGCATGTTAACGAACGAACACGAACACACCTGATTTCTAAACGAACGAACACGAATACAAAGATTTTCGTTCGTGTCCGTTCGTTTGTTCGGTTAAGTTAAACGAACGAACATGAACAAGTCTCCGTTCGTGTTTGTTCGGTTCGTTTATGGCCCAAATCTAATGTTGTAAGGGAAGATCAGATGGTGTGTGGGAGTCAAATGTTAGTGTTTGCTTATGAAGAAAGAGAAACCAACATATAGGCGTAAGGGAAGAGCAGATGGTGTGTGAGCCAGACATTAAGATAACTCGGTTAAATTAATAAGCAAAATATTGTCACAATGATTCTCAAAAAATAAAATCAAAGGAAAAGCACGAAGAATTCTTAGATCAATCATTGTTGTTGTATTGCATAGGCATGGGAATGGGGCCGGGAACTCAAATACCGTCCCCGTCCCCAATTACTTATCTCTATCCCCGTCTCCATCCCTGTCGGAGAATATAATCACATCCGCATCCCCATCCCCAACCCCAACGGGAATATGGATCGTCGACGAGAAAATGAGGATTTTTTTTTCGTTTATGTAAGTTATTTTAAAATAAATATATATTCAAATCTCAAACATTTTCAATAAAACTAAAACCAAATTCAATTTAATCCAAAAAAAACTTAAGGTCACATGTACCAAAAGGTATTGAGTAATATAAAACCATATCGAGTAATATATAATACTTATCAAGTAATTATATTTTGACTTGACATCCAAAATATTACATATTAACATTCAAAAAATAACAATTTTAGATTATAAACCTAGTTAGGAATTATAAACATATAAATTACCGTTTAATTGAAATAAATAATACACACATATATAGTTTAAAATAACTTATATTAATGGGGAAAAAAAGTCCCCTTGTGGCCACCGAGGTTCAAATGCGTGACTCCGGACTATCTGCAAAACAGGTAATCGCCTTAGCTTAGTCAGCTCGTATAGCAGGTCGGATATCCAAGTTAATCAAAAAAATAATATAATATAATATAGACACACACACACACACACACATATATATATATATATATAATTTATTAATTAATATGTATAACGGGCACGGGACAGGGCGGGGAGTACGATATCCGTCCCCGTCCCATCCCGGTTTGAAACAAACGGGGATCCCCGTCCCCGATTTAGCGAGGAATCTCTGTTCCCGATCGGGACGGGTGAACCGGGTTCCCGATGAGTCGGGGCCCATTTCCATGCCTAGGATTGCATGGAATATAAAAATGAGCACAATCAAACCACAACAAACTATGAAACCCGTATCCCTATATTAAGTTTCGTATTCATGAGATCAAACAAAATGTTGCAAATCCTACATTACCTAATGGGCCTGCCCATACAAAATTACCAAGTTGGTGAAAGTCCAAACATGGTTAAATTTGGATCTCATATCAAATGAGTGTAATGCTAAAAGGTTATTTTCAACATTTATTTATTTAGGGGGTGTTTGGGATTGCTTATTTAAAACAACTTATGTTTTTTTGTAAAAGTGCTTATTAACTTATAAGGTATCAAACCGGAGTTTTGTAAAAAGTGTTTGGATTAGCTTATAGTGGTACCAAACTGCAATAAGTTGATAAGTTGTTTTTTAGTGTTTGACAAATTTTGTTTATATCTGTAAAATGACCAAAAAGGACAGTCTTCTATATTATTGACTTATAGGAGTGTTTGAGATTGCTTATTAACTTATTTGATTTTTTAACATATAAAAAATTTATTTTTCATCATTTATAATAATATCTATAACAAAAATTTATATCAATAAGATTAATAATTTATATCAATAA